ACCTACATAAAAGTCCCACTCACATCAGTCGCGCTGTCGAAAAAGCAGTTATCCTGACACTGGTTGGCATATACTTCGGGGAGTTGCCTGTGGGCTATTATAGCTAACTAACTAGCTATGGTAAGTAAATACCTATTTAGAATACATAGTACCTACAGTAATGTTTGCATAACCTACAATAAAATACAAAAAAATAAAAAAACATAATTATTTTACACTTTTTTCTGTTTTAGAAGTCTGTTATATTTTTTTCAATTTTTTTTATGTTACTATTTTTAGTTGAGAGTTAAGTCCCTTTAGTGGGTACAGGCGTGATATTATAGTGTGTGCGTAAAGAATGCATAGATACGCGATAGCAGCAACCGCGGTTGATTTGATGTCATTTATTGAAGAGTTCCCTCGATTTCTCCAAGATCCCATCATCATATCTTGATCTGACCATCATCGATTACCATGGGATCATCTGGAAAGTATATTCTTTCAAACCAATTTTCCAAATCGGTTCAGGCATCTTCGAGAAATCGGGGAACAAAACATACATAACCAAAAAACAACGAATTGAGAACCGCTTCTTTTTTTTCGAAGTCGGTTAAAAAGTAGCTAAAACAAATCAATGAAATTATTATATAATAACAACATCTACTTAAATTCACATAAGAACTTTCATAATAACAACTAAATTGGGTTCATAATAATAACACCAATTTGTTTCTTCTCTCTTTTCTCTTTTTAAAATACGTTACCCCAACAGTAGAATTTTCTCCTGTATCGTGGAGGCAGTTTACTAACATAAATTGCACAAGGACAAACATCCAGACCAGGAACAACTATTTGTAGGCCATACAAATATTTGTTCCGTGCGGATTCGAAACCGCGGACCCCAGCGCAGCCACTGCGCCACGGAGCTTTCAATTGCGGTTTGAGTTTATGTTGTCATTCAAAAAAGAATCGCAATATGTACGTACGCGATGACGCCGTCGCTTTGCGTCACTCAGGAGTGCGCACACGCACTAGCTTCTTACTGCTCATCACAGCGTCTATCCCTTTCGCACGTGATGTCGGCTGAGATAGCATGCATTTTAACCCCGCCCACCATTTAGTTCGAGCTATCGACTAGGGCCACCTTAAGTGGGTTATTTTGTTTAATAGGATAAGGTGACAAACGAACACACAGTCCACCTGATGGTAAGCGTTTGCTGTCCCCATAGACATCTACATCTATCCTCGATTACGAATCAAAATGCAGATGCTATTCACCTGTGAAGACTTAGATGGAATCCTCGTTTCCAGTAAAAAGGAGACCCTTTTTACTGGAAACGAGGTTCTCTACACTCACCATATGAAACACAGCAGCATTAAGCTACTTTTTGACGCTGGTATTCTGTGAGAGCGTGGTCCTTTCCCGGTCGAGCCGACCCATTCGTGCTACAACTATACTACTAATATAAATGTAGCATGGCTTTACCACGTATAAAATCTAGACGTATATAATTGTCTTGTGGTTTTAACGCCATTTTAAAGATTAGTCTACAGTTAGCGTTATGTGGAATCGGTATATTGGAATCTTAAAATTATTGAAATTGTTATCGGTTCAAATTGCTGAAGTCTACTTCTTAAGGTAAATTTTTGTGTGTTGTGCTTAAAAAAAGCCTTTGAATGCTGCTAGAGCTGTAGGTTTAACTGATGAGTGTTACAACCAGCGGCGAATTGCATGAACACTTTGTGTACGGTCTACATTGATACGAGACGCCATCCGGCTATATCGGGACACTGGTCGTTACACGCGGAGACCCGCTCAAGGGCGACATCGATGCAAGTCAGCTCGGGACGATCGTTTTATTGTCAGTAATGTGTTACGAGATCGCTTTTATACAGCGGCTGAGGTTCGAAATCGTCTGTTCGAAGTCAGAAATGTCAGTGTAAGTGAAAGAACAGTATAAAAACGGTTGGCTGAGAGGGATCTGACAGCATTTTGTCCAGTCCGCGCACCAGAACTCCTCAGATCGCACAGAACAGCCAGGTTACGTTTCGCGCGTGATCCTTCATCTGAGGCGTGATCATGCTAACTGGTCAATGCAGGAATGGAAGAATGTTTTGTTCTCTGATGAAAGCAGAATTGCTTTAAGAGGTCCTGATGGACGCCAGCGTGTGTATAGACGCCCAAATGAGAGGTTTGCCCCGTGTGCAATAGTGGGAACGGTGGGATTTCAAGGAGGCTCAACTATGGTATGGGGAGGCATCAGTCACGAGGCTCGTACCGACATCGTTATCTTTGAAAGAGGTGCTGTAAATGCTCAAAGGTACGTCGAAGAGGTTCTGCAAGAACATGTCATTCCTTTTGCCCCTTTTATTGGCCAGAATTTTCTTTTGATGCACAATAATGCTAGATCTCATGTTGCTGAATACCTGATTGAGGTCGAAATTCAAACATTGCCGTGGCCCGCACGCAGTCCCGACCTCAGCCCAATAGAACACATGTGGGATAACCTCTAAAGGCGCATTAGAGCCAGGATACCAGCTCCTGCCACCACACGAGAGTTGAAAGCAGCTGCAGTAAAGGAATGGCACAACATTCCTCAACCTGATATCCAGGATATTATGATGGGCTACCAAACTAGCTACAAGAAGTCATTAGGGCCAGAGTAGGCAACACCCATTATTAAATTGGAAGAATGAAAAATGCTTTCATCAAAAATTGTTTTTTTTTTCAATATTGTTTTTTGTAAAAAGACTTCCGTCTAATATAATTTCCGTTTATTCAATTTTACATAAAAAATTCTAAACATTTTCATTACATTTTATCATTTATTGTTTAATTTAATGTACCCATAAAACAAAAAAAATTTTACTATCAGCAATTTTCGGAAATAATTAACAAAATATGTGGTGGGCGGTTAATTGTGCCTATGAGTATAGATCATTGTGACAGACATAAAAGAATAATAGGCGTAACCTAGTCTAATCATTGGTGAAGTCTGATAACTGCCCGTTATGAGACTGCGTGAATTGTTATGAGGGATGCTAGATAAAACATTGACTTGTCCATAAAGTAAAAAAAAAAACGTTTGCGGTAGATACCTCGCGTAGCCAAAAAAGGCCATGTCATGTCATGTCAGGCGCCGCTTGCAATGTCGTTAGCCTCGATTGCTCGACGAGATATTTCTACGGGTCCACTTTTCGTTGCCGGCTCGACTGTGTACATGTACGCGGTACACGTTCGTTTAGGCACGGTTTATTGGTTATTTACCTATCTCTGTTAACTTAGGTGTGATATCTATACCTATGAAAAAGCTAAAACCGTGAATTTGCTAACATGTTCTAAAACTGTCATAAAAAATTTATAACGTGCCGTAACTAATTTGCTAAAAATATTGGTAAAGCGGCTTTTACTTTGACTTTTTAGAGGTGAACTGTGAGTTTTTAAAAATCGAGTTCACATTATAAACAGATATTAAAAAAGGCAATATGGTATTTTAACAAATGAGTTTTTACAAACGAACAAAGATTCGGCTTTGTTAACTGAAGAGTTATTATTATCATATTATATTTACAAGGTAGTTGCTTCCTTGCTGATTTTATTAGTTAAAGATTATCTACAGATATTATAACGGAGAGCAATTGATTTTTATATATAGAAATTATTTAATACTTTTTTATAAATTTACTATTAATAAATTGTAAAATATTACTATAAAAAAGTCGCGATGGGTTTCTTGCTTTTAAAACATATTATTAAAATATATCATAATTAAATTCTATTCTATTCTCAACTAAAGTAGTCAAGCAAAACAAAAACACCTAAATCATTTGAATACACAACCACGGTAATATTATCTATACAGTATTGTAACTCGGCCGTATCTTTCAAATAAATGCCTACAGCCGTGCGGCAGGTAAACATGTGATAGGGTTACCTGCCTCCAGCATTTTTACATTTGCCTACTTTGTGTTTCCATTTAGTTTTATGATTGTAAATATACTTTTTATATAAACAAATAAAATAGGTACTTTGTGAATTGAATAGGAAGTGTTTAATAAAAATGCGTGTCGTTTTTTGATTGGTAGATTTAATTAAAAAACCATGTTTATGTTTGAATAAAATATTTGCACCTCGGCTGAGACTTACGAAATGCTTTATTATTAGATTTTTAAATATAAAAAATCCGCTTTCTAATATAAAGCTAAAAATAATATAAATTAAAAATTGTTTTGGGAAACATGGACAACGTGGAGAAAAGGAATATCTTTTAATTGGTTATAGATACCTGCAGCTACTTTACAATTTATATGTTTGTTATTAAATGAAGTTCAGATTTATTATTTCTTTATTTCTATTATATTATTTATTTCCTCCATTTTTTTTATATATTTCACAAAATCATGACTGCGGCACAGTCTCGACAGTCTGCATGCCGAGCGCATGCCGAGATCGAGGCGCGTAGGCATAGCTCTCGCTTCGCCCGTTTGTATGAAGTTGGAATACTGTATAGATAATATTACCGTGATACAACTGTATCAGAAATCAGAAATAAACAGATAAACGGCGGGAAGACTAAAAAAAAAAACAAATACCGTCCGGACGCATAGACAATGAGAAACGGTCGCGGTCACAAGACCACGTAATAGTTTACAATGTTCAGTATGTCGTTTACTGTTATTCCGTGAACAAATGGTATCTATCTATCTACCTAATGTGTCAGTGAAATGTGTAACATCGGCCATCCGTGAACGGACGAAGTAATTGATGAAACACTATTTACTAGATTCAACAAATTTATTAGATTTAGACGGCTTCGCAGCGCAGTGGGTCAGCAATGAATTGCAGCGCTGAGGGCCCCGAGGGTTTGAATCTCGCACGGAATAAGTATTCATATGGCGTATAAATAATTGTTACGCGTCTAGATATTTGTCTTTGTGAAATTTATGTATGTAAACTGCCACGCCTTTCACGCCAATACAAGAGAGATTTTTAACAAAAATGGTACAGCCTTTCTGCAGCGTTATCTGTTTACATCACTAACAGGTCGGCTGGACTTTGGGGTAGACCACGCCCTCTGAATAATTAATTCATTAAGAATTAATTCATTTTTTGAAAAAAAAAAACGTTACCCTCACACCAGGATTTACTCCTGCATCGTGGAGGCAGTTTACAAACATAAATTGCACGAGGGCAAACATCCAGACCTGTAACAATTATTTGTAGACCATACAAATACTAGTACCGTGCGGGATAAGAACCCGCGGCCCCCTACGCAGCCACTCATTGCTAAGCCACTGCGCCACGGAGCCGTCATAACGTAATGCTACTGTATACTTTCTGGTGGGTACAGGCCTCCTCTTTTTAAAAGAGAGTAATGAACTGTCACTGAATTTCACAGTTGCTCTGAAGGTTTTTAATTTCTCATACTTGTGTTTCCCTCACGATGATCATGTTCTCACTTTAGGCACACCACACACACACCAGTACTAGGGACTTTCCAAATCAATAGAAATCTAAATTCAAGTCTTTAGCTCATGTAAGAGGTATTTTTTTGTAAGAAGTATATTAATTACTATGCCAAATGTCAATCGTCTAAGTTAAATATTGTTAGAGAAAAACCTCTGTGATAGACATACAGAAAGACATATTATGATACCTAGTTGATTAAGGATTTAGTTTTTGACTTTAGGATGAAACATACAAAAATAATAAAACAATGTTGCTTATTAAGTATAAGCCCCATGTAACTTTTGGCGAGTGCGTGTAGACAGACATATTTTTAACTTTCATTGCAAGATTTTTGAATCACCTAGTCACAGTCATATATTCTTATAGAACCACTGACTTCTATATATACAAGTGTATATATTATAGAGGTCAGTGTATAGAACCAACTAGGTATCTTATAACATACTCTGGTCACATTCACGAAATACAAGATCACAGTAATAATAGGCTGGTTACTACTCTGTGAAATATATTGCCATATATTGGTGACTATACAAGTTTCTTTACAAAATATATCTAAAATATCCACGAGATGGGGTGTAAATAATTCTTTGTCATTATTGGCAGATGATTTATTCATATGCCTCCAAAATTTCCCTCTTTTATTTTTATAGCTGCAAATGTAGCTATAAAATCATACCATCGGTTTGGCAATATTGTTTCAAACTGAGGCTCCAATAATGTCACGAATAAAATAAACTAACAAACTGTACTTATTTTATCCCCTCAATGGTTGAATTTTCGACAACATTTGATGAGTAAGGCAGATATTTTGCCTAATATATAAAGAAAATACGCCTAATATATATATATATATATATATATATATATATATATATATATCATAAAGAACGCAGTCAACAAACAACATTGCAAGACTTCAAAAAGGAAGACGTGAAGCGGTGTATCCAGGAGTGAAGAAATACATCCTACATTTTATACTAACATTAATATATTATTATGTAAAAATGAACGTTTCTTTGTTTTTCCCGTATGCGTTTCCAATAAAACTTATCCGATAAGCAACGCATGTCTGTCACAGCTAGTTCAGACAGCTATTTCAGTATAAACAATTAAGGGGAAATATAACCTCATATGGCTTAGCAAGATCCTCCGTTATGCCGAAAATATTGCAGCATTAATTTTGAAATAAATATATGGTAAAGTTGAGGATTAATTTTAAGGACTATGTTAGACGAAAACACGATTCCGTAAAATTTTCTCGATAGAAAAAAAAATCCAAAGTTACCTCCAAAATAAACAATATACCGCTGTTATTCATAAAATATTTTAAATAAGATCATGAAACTTTGCATACTAACTGAACTAACTATAAAGCAGTGCTTATATTATTTACTTTTTTCAAAATACCATTATTTTCACTGTAAAAAGAAATTACCTAAACTATTGGCCTCTTGAAGCTTGATTCCTGCCGCCCGGTCAGTTTCGCTTCGGCCTTTGAAGTGGGAGGTTGTGTCGCTTACGATCAGAATACACATTACGCAACAGGACGACGTAAAATTAAAATGGAAAATAACTGTAATAAAAATAAGAAGCGACTGGGTTGGCGTTAAGAGACAGGAATAAATATGATAAACCTACTGAAATAAGTATCTAACGACCTATCTACTTACAGTATTAGTGATTACAAACATGTCGGTACATAGCATACGACGCGCGGGGAAGTGGGGGCGAAATTAGAATTTGAGCTGACTTACTCTATCCCCTTAATCCTTGGTATTACCACGATCAGTTTCTCCAGTATGTAAAGTTCTCGGTGCTTAGTTCATTGAGTCTCGTGTTCCGATACCATAGCGTCACGTGTATTCTCGCTCCAGTCACACAGCTGTACTATTTTCTTCCAAAATTCACTACTGACCTTTTTTTTTTACAGAGTAAGTGTGACAAACAAGCACACAGTCCACTTGATGGAAAGTGGATGCTGTGACCCATAGACATCTATCCTTAATAAAGTCCAAATACTTTGTTACCCTTCATGACTAAGATGGAATGCCTAGTTTCCAGTAAAAAGGGTTTCCGGCTCTCTACACTCACCATACGAAACAGCAGCATCGAGCTGCTAATTTACGCTGGTATTCTGTGAGAGCGTGGTCCTACTCCGGTCGAGCCGACCCATTCGCACTACAACCATAATAATGCTGTAGTAAAAACTTTGCTTACGAAAATTATGACATTTTATACTAAATAATTAAATACTAACCTGATATTTCCGGATGGATTCAATCTGGTCCCGAGTAACGTCGAGTGCTGGGGGTCTCGGGGGCGCGTCCCGAGGGACCTCCCGGGGAGGTACCGCGGGAGCAGCAGCCTTAGCGCTGCCATTCACCTGCTGAATGAACAGGATCCTTAACACCGTTATAATTCACTTAGATTTTAGCTCATTTAGATTAGCTGTAAATAAACTTATAACAGCGCGGTGGACCCTTTGCTGCGCGCAATACTCTCAGAAATGTGAGGCAACATGTACCCAGAAGTGGACACAATGTACGCTGTCATGTAACTGTATATTATAAAAGTTATTAATTATACTCCGCTTACACTTGTGCCTGGTTGGTTTTAAGGGATGGTTATAATTAATTTTAATACCAAAAATAACTTCATAAATCAAAACAAATAAGTTCGCATTAACAATTATAGTAGTGTGGTTCTACCATTATCTAATTAAAATTGGTAGCTCAGATCTAAGCACTCGATTTAAATTTCAAATTACCCGAACAGTTCGATTGTCGCCGGCACTAATGAAATTATTTAAAATTTAATATGGTAAACCACATGATCTACGGTAGAAGTAAGAATGGTATTTCAAGTCCGAAAAATACGAGTATTTCGAGGACATAACGATACCCCCGTTTTACGTCGTACAGCCATCCTGCAACTGTGTATGGTACGAATGTGTGGAAGACTATGGAAATAAACCGGAGGTCTCGTCGTTCAAGTATCGGTTATTTTCATTTATTTGTTTAAACTTATACGGACAAAAAATAAAATCGTAGTGCAGCAAAAATAAATCAATATTGTCACATAATATTATTACCAATGGTTATTTACCAAAGTAAAAAAATGTCGTATTTGAACAGTATTTTAATATGACTGTAAGAAGACGCACTATAGGACCACCTGACGATGAGAGTCCCACTGCAGCGAATAGATATTTTTTTTATAGGAAAAGGGTGACAAGCGAGCATACAGTCCACCTGATGGTAAGTGGTTGCTGTGGCCCATAGACATCTACATCTATCCTCGTTTGCAAATCAAAATGAAGATGCGTTGTCAGCCTTGAGGACTAAGATGGAATGCCTCTCTTCTAATAAAAAGGGTCTCTGCAATTATCTGCAGTTAACTTCAAATAAAGAAGTCTACAGATGCGTTGTCACCTCTGAGAACAACTACTATATCTTAATATATATAAATTACGTGTCACGTTGTTTGTCCGCGATGAACTCCTAAACTACTAAACCGATTTTAATCAAATTTGCACACCGTGTGCAGTTTGGTCCAACTTAAGAGATAGGATAACTTTTGCCCACAATTTTTTTTGTGCGAATTTAAGGATTTTTAATAGGACATGACAAATTGTCGCCGAAAAGGGCAGAACAACGTCTGCCTGGCAAGCTAGTAATACTATAGTTCTGACCATAGTATTTCCTGAGTACATACCTATACATACACAACAGCCTTTAAAAGTGCGCAGCTGAACATAGGCCGCTCCTATAGATTGCCTCATATTTTGCCACACAGGATTTTGCCATAGTTGCCACGCGTGACAGGCGGGTTGGCAACCGCAGTTTTTTAATATTCTTATCAAAATGACGAAGCTGCCCGTGTTCTGTTTTAGTTGCCCCTCTGTCACCTCTTACGACACCCACGCAACGATACGGGTAGTGGATATATTCTTATGTCGCTACTTCACCGTCTGTATGTATAATAAATACGCAGGAAATTCTATAGTCAATGTTTGCCTTTATAAATGCGGAAACGGTATAATCGGACTATAAATTTTAATGAACGCTACTTCAGTCTGAAAGATCCTGACCCCCAAAAGATCTGAGTCACGCCTCAAGAACTTAAATACTTATAAAAATAAATGAGGTAGGATATTAGGGTTTTTGTAGTTGCCGAAATTGTTTCTAAACAATAATTAATTCCGTCACCTCTTTAACTTGATTATAGCACTTCAATAACTCTTTAAAACTTTTTAATTAAGAAAAAAAGTTTTGAAGCTTAGCTTAGAACAGGTTTTTCGCTAAGAGGCGTATACTTTTAAAAGAATTTTTTATCTTGAATGGCTAATTAAATGAGAAAACTTTCAAAATACAACAATTAACTCAAATTCTTTAAAATTTTAAGCGGGCTGAATATAAACTGATGAAAGGGTTTTAGACTTTACAAGATGTTTTCAAAATATATTATTTTAAGACCTGCAGGTTTCCTCACGATGTTTCTCTTCACCGCCACAATCTGTTAAATCAGTACTAAACATTGCAATTAACAAATTCATTTGTGCCAACGTAAATCGAACCCGGACTGCTCGTTTTCGGGTTTTAAAATGTAAAAGTTTAAAAATGTTCCAGAAGGAAATATAAAATATATTCTAAAATTATAGATTATGGTTGACTACCACTAAAAGATTTAAATTAAAACCCTTCAGACAAAACACAGCAAGAACTATTATTGCCCCAGGTAGACCTAGTCAGAAAAGTTGTTCTACCACATACTGCGAATTTAGAGTTAAAATACTCAGAAACAGTTTTATTATAGTCTATGTTAAAATAGTCGTTTCAGAAACACAAACAAAATAATTGACTCCTTAACAATTATTGTAATGACATCGACTTCCAATGTTGATAAAATTACAATATCGTTTGATTGTCAAACGCATAATACCTTTATATGATAATACGAGTTTTTTCTCCTCTACATAAAGAGCATGTAAATAATCCACGGCTGGTCGAGGATCTCTCCTATAATAGAGAGGATTCACCGTAATCAACATTCTTAGCAAGCGAATTGGTGAATGCAATTAAAGTCGTCACTTTGCGTTATTTGACATTAATATACATAAATATGAAATGGTTTTACCGCCATTTATTTACCGCTTTACCGCCTTAACTATCTTAGTTTTGCAAACTTTAAATTTGTTTTTCTCTTAACTTATGACTAACACTACCATGTTATGCATGCTCGAATCCCAACAAAAATCTAATCTGTCTCTAATTACCAATAAAATAACATGTTTTACTAGGTATTATCAGAATTTACCATTTACAGTACCTATCTATCTATATCACAAAGTCGTAACAATAAGACAATAGAAGTCGCATAGACGCGTGACCTCACCGCTATGATGTGTTGACGAACATCATTCACCATTTTGTGATTTGGTTGGGCGAGGAACGTTGTACGCAAATTTATGTTATTATAAATTTATAATGGTGAAATGCAGCATAATTAGTTGTAAAAACTTATCAAGGACGTATAATTCAATAATAAAGGCATAACATTTTATTGGTAAGTTGATTATACTAATTATCATTGGTTTAACTTATAATTTACATCTAGATGAATACTTTACTATGATATTTACCTTTGTAAACTTTCATTTATTACTTTTCGTACTGTACAATTACCATTGCTGCTTTTGTTCTACGTTGACAAACTCGACAAGCAATGTAATGTAAGACATTATCATTGTGCATTGTGCGTATATTTATAATACGGTAAGATGTGACGACATCGGTTTTGGAAGTAATCGAGCGCTAATTCATTTCTATTATCTTATTATTACTATTTCTGTGATCTAAATGAAAGCGTGAATTCAATACTCATGCAATCAATATACCAATGTTACCAGCGACAAATATACTTATTGTTTGTTAACAAACATTTAATATTGTATTTTGCTATATTTATAATATGTGACCTTTAAGAAAGACTGATGCATAAGTTGATTTGCGCCATTTTTATTGTGTAAAATAAATTAAAATAAGTTTCAAACTATATAAACTTATTTTAGAACTCGTATGATTAATGGCATAGGGGCCTTCCTTAATTAATTACAGAAATTGGTAATATGTTTTAAAGGAAAATATACTATCACCCTCTGGTACATGAATAAAATTTTCATTAATAAATTTTAGTTACGAATTAAAAAGAAAATGGCACAAACCAACAACTTAGAGATCCCGAGAAAAATCAATTGTTTTAAATGCCAAAGTTACTTGGACAGACATAAAAAGTGTATAAATAAAAATAAAGCTATTGCGTATGTACTGCAACCCTGGAAGAAAGCTGACATAGAAAATGATAATTAAATTATAAAACATTTCAATCTTGGGAAATTTATTATAAATATTCTAATATAAATATTTTATTGAGTAAATGGGAATTAAAGAAAGAAGTTTGTAAGATTTGCGAGCAAGTATTTGATAAAACTTTTAATACAATAAAATACTATGTTTTTTAACTTTTTTAGTCATCAATTTGTAAACTTCTATACATAAAAATGTAAATAAATATACAGTGTACATTTTAACTTCTTTAATATCTCTATTTAAACTCTACTTATGAGCCACTGTGAATGCTTGACCACAATTCCAAAATTTTTTTTATAGAAAAGGGTGACAAATGAGCACACAGTCCACCTGATGGTAAGTGGATGCCAAAGATCTATGGTGGATGCTGTGGCCCATAGACATCTACATTTATCCTCGATTAGGAATCTAAATGCAAATGCGTTGTCACCCCCGAGGATTAAGATGGAATGCCTCGTTTCTAGTAAAAAGGGTCTGTGGATCTTTACACTCACCATACGAAACACAGCAGTATTAAGCTGCTATTTTACGCTGGTATTCTGTGAGAGTGTGGTTCTTCCACAGTCGAGCTGATCCGTTCGTGGCTCAACCTTAATTTAGATGCAGCGTAGCTCTACCACGCATAAAAACCAACTGGTGGTAGCCCTAGATAGTAAATCGCATTGTCTTAACTCATAAGCCTATTCACTTTTGCCTTGAAAACACGTCCATAGTAATCAGATGGAAAGCCAGACGCTGCGCTGGCAAATTATTCTATTCCTTTGCCGAAATAACGACTTATCACACCTGGTGCCAGGGCCCATCTAGCACCACCAACCATTTTGAAATAGGTTGAAAAGTTTAAATGTCTTCCAATATATAATTCAGGCAGGTGGGCAAGCTCCCAAATTATTTTATAACATAACATTTACGAATAATACATTATATAATTTATACTTGCGATTGTTTTTAACTTGTTGAAACTTAATTTTCGATTGTGATTTAGGATTCACACATGTAGTTATTAAATGATGCTGTAAGCCAAATCCAGTCATCATAAACTGAAAACGATCGGTTTTATAGTTAACTATCGATCGCCCTGGCATTATCTGGTTAGAATCTACGAATATGTTTAAATTTGAGATAAAGACCATGTATTTTATCAATATTTCGTGTTTATTCTGACAAATTATCTCCTAGTTTTTTTTGGATAAATGTATACACCTTTATTAAAGTCGGTATAGTCATGCCAAGAATTAGCCTGTCTGACAGACAGACAGAAAGACGAAATTCAAAAAAATATTCATATCCAAATGGCATGCAAATCTGCTCAATAGGCTGTTATTTAGGTATAACTGACAAAAACTACAATGTATGTATAGAAATATCAAAGTAAATTCAAGTGAAATAGTTACGTATATATGTCAATCCAAATCACAAATGATAATACTATTATGTTTAACTCGACGCCATCAATGTAGATAATTTAGTGCATTGTGAAGTAGGACTCGTAAACGTAATGACAGACTATCATTTCGAGATTATGAGAGCTACATATGTAAGAGTACAATAATGAGGGCTTATATATTGTTCCGCGTGTGACGAATGTCCTAATTTCCAACAGTAACTGCTCTAAAGCCGTAAAAGTAATGACAGAATAAAACACTAATATCTTGCGATAAATTGTTCAACGTTTCCTACAAATTTGAATTAAATTGTTTAAATTTATATTTTATTAAGTTAATTATTTGTATTCTATAATGCCTTTTTTATAATAAGGCTTGAAAGAAAGTACATAAATGAAATATGTCGCGTTTATTCAGTACCATGTGTAAAAAAACTTGTTCCTTTTTGAATATTAATCTAGTGATAGGTAAAACATTTTCTTTTATTCGTATAATAGTGTTGCTAGGTGTCCAGATTCCCCCTTGATCGGGACGCCAAATGTCCCGATTTTCGAGTTTAAAAGGTTTATTATTTTTCAAAAATGGATTAGTGTCTTAGAAAATTCAGTCTGCAACAAAAACAAGTATTAATTACTTAAGACTAAATCCTTCAAGAAGTTCTGATTTCATCGCGAAAGTAAAAACGCAGGTGATTGTACAGTTTGGACGAAAAATTATTCATTAATTACTTAGATAAAATAATAATTATAAAATATATTGTGCATTGTGTCAAAAAGTCTTAAGTATGACCGAGTACGTTCAAAAAGGCTACAAAAACATTTTAGTAGCCATTATAGCTGTCTTGAAAACCGAATTGCCGTTTATTTCTACATTTGGTTTCGAAATTTGACACGCTACTTACAAATATAAACTGGTAAGTTCGCAAACGGTTTCAAATTACTTCCAAATTATTACATGATAATAATAATAGAAGAAAAATTATTCCTACTTTCTACATGTCAGATTATAAAAACGTACTACATAGATGATTTTACTAGTAATGAATTTAAAGTAAACTTTCAGTAAATAGACTGATAGAATAGAATACGAATAACATAACAGAAGGAAATCTTCGCCAGTACTAAGAGGTGTAATTTATCAAAAATCTGCTATATATAAGGACCAGGAGATTTTCCCTTGGGACATAATTACAATGCAAATTCGGGTCGAATTGCGAGCAACACAATATTATACGATAGCTTTGTTACCTCTGGTCAAAGTGCTTCCTCACTTGTAGGACTTTGTGTATCATATTTTTGAATCTGAAATGTTAAATATAAGCTAAAGATAAATAAACTACTTATATAAATAGTATAATCATAAATACCGCAGGTATAAATGCCAAAATAGTCTGAAGCAAAATACACCAACTTATAAATTCCAAACTAAATTTATATTTATTTTTTAAATAAATAGGGGTTAACACTAAAAGGCCCAAAAGCCCCGAAGATCCAAATTCTCATTCCATACGATAGAAAAAAGATAAAAAATTCCAAAAAAATGTATATAATAATATAGATAAAATTTCCGCGGACAGAAGAGTGTTTTAGTGCAAAAAGCGTGAATGCAAAATGATGACAACAATGTTAATGATTCTTTGATTTGTTTTATTAGCAAACAGTAGTATAATAAATCTATGTTACCAAATACTTTTATTCTTACGCCGGCTCCACACGTTGGCCCCAATATAGGTCCCAACGCTACTCGTCCAACGTGTGGATCTAGAAAATGGCATTGGTCCCAACGTTGGGGCGAGCGTTGGTAGTTGGCCGGCTCGTATCGGTTTCATCAAAGGAATCTGCGCCAACGCTCGCGATCTGTCCACACGTTGGCACTCTGCTCAGTTCTGTTGCAACACGCAGCAAGTGCGTACGTCGAGCGAGAATGGCTTCCTCGTCCACAAAATCGCCACCGGCATGGACGATTGAAAAAGTCATAGAATTTATTGAACTTTATCAGCATAGCATAGCTTTATCATATAGCACATCCAATAATATGGGACGCAACTCGAAAGGATCATAAGAATAAAAATTTATTAGCTGATGCAGACAGAATATGGGAATGAATTTCTCAATTGAAGATTTAAAAAAAAAGCGAGGATCATTAATGAGCACATATCGCCTTTACAGAAAGATAATTAGTGACTCTACTCGATCTGGATCAATCAATAGATGATATTTTTAAACCAAATTGGTTCGCTTATGATATTATTATTATGTACTATAAAAGCGCTCAGAGCAGTTTCGATTTCTGTATCGGACATCTTCACATTTGCCCTGACTTGACAGAACTAGTTTATTAGCCAACGTGTGTACGCCTCACCGAACTCGCAGTCCAACGTTGGTACGAGCGTTGGGACCAACGTGTGGAGCCGGCCTTATCTGTTTTAGGAAAGCTGTCTCTAAATTAATTTATAAACAACTTTGATTAGAATAGATATCACAACGAAATAAATATCAATTATGAGTTTTTTAAGAATTAAAATGTTATAAATATTCATTCATAAAATTAAATTCCTTCAAAATTGCACCACAAATTAATTTCTGTAAGAGAATTTTCTTTTTATAATTTTTTACGTTTGTGTCGGTAGATGGCGCTAATAAATAATAGCCTGTTTACATTGGCCAATAACGTAGTAAATTCAGAAATTTCCGGCTGAAGTTTGGTTACCCAATAAACATGTTAATTAAAATATTATACAATTAATTATGTACCCAGTTAGTTTCTAAATGTTAGTAGATGAAAACTTAATGATAAGATGTTAGTGATTTTCTACGAATTAAGTTGTAAAATTAATAGATCTTAATATTCAAACATTAACCAGAGCCCTTTTATAAATATATAAGTTCACTTTTTTGTATCATTACTGAGGCATCTCAACTAGCCAACCGAGGTTGCAAAATGTTAGAAGAACTCACAAATTATTTCACCTTATGTGCAATATAATATGATACAAGACTACTTTTTGAATAATGTTCTCCATATTTGTCATCTATTTAATACGAATACGAACTAGTGTGTCTAGTATTCGCGTAAGAGATACTTATTCAGTTTTAGTAATTTAATACCTACTGACGTACATTCAAAGTACGAGTATGAAGCTTGTTTTTTTTTTAGATATTCCTGATTATTTTTCACCGATACTATGTGTAACTTACACTTTCAAAGATATTGTAATTATTGAAATAAGCAATTCTATTCAAGTTATTGTCAGCTTACGACTTCGAGGTGTTTAGGGGTTATTTTTGCAACTATCAACATAAGTTATGATGCTTAGGACTTAGGATGCCAGAGTTTTTTTTTTCATAGGTTTTTAAAAAAAGGCTCTAAATACTTTCTTATTCTGATAATATTTAATCTCATAACCTGTCCTTATCATCAACTTTTAAAGCGTTCCCAGTCTCTTGAAATTGTTCATATCCAAATAAAGTAAAATGGTCCTAGTACTGACAATTTACCAGTAGATATATATTTCAAATCAGTGATGATGTAAATCACATACATGTCACCTTCACATTGCTTTAAATTTTTTGTATTTCGAAATATTTGAGAACTATTTTAATCCGTTTTATAATTGTATCATCAGATCACTACCATTTGCGACCATTTGTTACATATCAGCAGTCTTAAAGTCAACAAATAGTAAATTTTCACAACAGGGTTTAGACGACTTAAAATATAAAACGAGAAAAATGTTATATGAGATTCCGAATAAAGGTAGACGTTTGTACCTCAACTCTGTCAACTCTCATCAACTCACTTACTCGATTGTCGTAAAATATCTATTTACTTGAGTCTCTAACTAAACACGTAATAAAAAGAAAAAAAAAACTAAGTCGCCGAATATTTCACTTTTTTACAATTTAGATACCCGCCGCAATTCTGCTGTGTATATTATAATAATTAGTAAAATGCTAAATAGCATGACTCATATCTTACATTACATATTTGCTAGTTGGAATATAATTATCTAAATCATGCTTATATACATAGAATTTTAAAAATGTATATAAAATATATAGTTAATATAAATAAAAAGGCTCTGATTATCCCAACTAAATGTATCCGACATACCTCATACACCCTACTTTCCCAATCAGATGAAAATGAACCGAGCAATCGTGCTGTTTACCTGAAACACACTCTTTCTGTCCACGGTACCCGGATATTTGGGCGTGGTTTTGACAATTTGGACGAAATTTTCTGGCACGTCCACAGGTACCTCCCTCCCGAGCAGGACTGGTGTAGTGTCGAAGCCGGGGGGAAGCTTGTACGAAGCGTACACCGCTTCCCTGATCAGCACTGAGTCCGTTCTCGCCGAGTAAGTGACTCCCTCCCTACAATCTAACAATGAATCTTGACCATTAGGTATGAGAAGTTGGATCTTATGATCGATCAAATTGTGAGTTGTGTGCGAGGCGACCGATTCCGATCTTTCGGAGACAAGGTCGCATTTGGTGGTTTCCGAAGAGCCTTTGCTCTTTTTGCTCCCGAAGCTGACACCGGAACCGTCGGAGCTCTGAGGTAGGGAGAGTAATTCGATGGTACTGTTGTTCTTGAAGCTGCCGGAACCGTCAGAACTCGGCCCTGATATATCTATAGCGCTTTGTAGTACTGTGCTTTGCTTGCTTCCAAAGCTCGTCCCGGAGCCTCCAGAGGAGAGTAGGGGCTCGTCGTCTCTAGTCCGGAGACGTACCTGAGGGGGTCGAGGCGGCGGGTAGCGGGGTGGTGTTTTGTTCCGCGCTATAAAGTTCTCCGGAACATCCACCGGCATCTCGCGGTGGGGACCTGGAAATAAACAGAGAGCTGGATTTAATATTAATAATTCCAAATTATAAATAAATTGGCGCAAATAGATGGTAATATTATCTTGAAGTTATAATGTTTAAATTAATTTTTTGTAGATTTTGGACAACAATTTGAAAATAGTTTTACATATGTGCCACATAATAAATTTATTTTAAGATTTAAATTTTAACAAGATCATACCACATAAAATATAAATTCTGTTTGTTTTATGGAAATCAGTTTAAATTTGGTTTATATCTCTTAATAAATAGGTATGATGCTCATCGAATGCTTCATTGGTCTAGTGGTGTAAAAACGACTGCTATCGTGAAGTCCCGCGTTCATATCCTGATTCGGACTAAAAAAATTAATTATTAAAAAAAATTCAATAGCAGCTTCAGTCACGAAGTTGCCGGGGTCTCAACCCCGTGCTTTGAAAAGCACGTAAAGCCGTTGGTACTTCGCCTGAGCACTCTCCATTCGTGTTGGATTGTCGTCTCATCATAGTACGAGAGTGAGAGAATAGAGAGTGTACCTGTGCTTGCATTCGTGCACTATAATCCTATCCTGCGCAGATAGACTCCCGTTAAGAAGTGCCACCGCGAAATGAAATTCAGTCTGGATGTTTTTATCAACCAAATAATATCGTAATAGTGATTAATACGATCACCCTCAATATTTCTGGATGTATAGCTATATTTTATGGACGTCACACACGGTCAGTTTAACGGATCATTCCAACTGATCAGTTCAAACTAAAACTGTTGACATTTTTTAAAATATTGAATTTTCAATATATCGATAATTATGAATGTATCAATATTGGAGTTTTATATATATATATATATATATATATATATATATATATATATATATATATATATATATATATATATATATAATAATGTATAAGTATAAGTTTATTTATCGATATATCGAACAGCCAATATTTTAAAAAATATCAGCAGTTTTAGTTTGAACTGATAAGTTGGAATGATCAGTTGAACCGATCGTGTGTGGGGACGATTATACTACAAAATGTAAAAAATATATATTTATAGTCTATGGCAAAAAACAGGGAAACTTGCTATTTATGGATCGGGAATCAATAACCGTAATCGGTGTATTTATAGCATTGGAACAATGTACTAAAATTTCGTCGTTGACCCAAATAAAATTAACTCATAATCGGCCGTTGTTCCAACAGCCAATTAACGGTAAATGGACGAGAAAACTGTTTAGAGCTAATTAAGTCCAAAAGAATCATACTGTTAGGAAAGCAATATTAATTATAAACAGAAATTCTAGTGATGAATAGCCAATGATAATATACATCTGAGACATCCTTCACTACTGACCGTATGAGTAAGCTCATGGTCGTTCGGCAAACTATAGAGAGGGTTATACTCGGGAGTTCCTGAGTAAGCTCATGGTCGTTCAGCAAACTATAGAGGGGTTATACTCGGGAGTTTAACTGAGAGGTTATACTCGGGAGTTCCTGAGTAAGCTCATGGTCGTTCGGCAAACTATAGAGAGGGTTATACTCGGGAGTTCCTGAGTAAGCTCATGGTTTCGTTCAGCAAACTATAGAGAGGGTTATACTCGGGAGTTCCTGGAGTAAGCTCATGGTCGTTCAGCAAACTATAGAGAGGGTTATACTCGGGAGTTCCTGAGTAAGCTCATGGTCGTTCAGCAAACTATAGAGAGGGTTATACTCGTGGGAGTTCCTGAGTAAGCTCATGGTCGTTCAGCAAACTATAGAGAGGGTTATACTCGGGAGTTCCTGAGTAAGCTCATGGTCGTTCAGCAAACTATAGAGAGGGTTATACTCGGGAGTTCCTGAGTAAGCTCATGGTCGTTCAGCAAACTATAGAGAGGGTTATACTCGGGAGTTCCTGAGTAAGCTCATGGTCGTTCAGCAAACTATAGAGAGGGTTATACTCGGGAGTTCCTGAGTAAGCTCATGGTCGTTCGGCAAACTATAGAGAGGGTTATACTCGGGAGTTCCTGAGTAAGCTCATGGTCGTTCAGCAAACTATAGAGAGGGTTATACTCGGGAGTTCCTGAGTAAGCTCATGGTCGTTCAGCAAACTATAGAGAGGGTTATACTCGGGAGTTCGTCTGCGTAAGACTTCGTAATACGGATACCCGCGGTAGAAGAGCAACCGACATAGCTCAACGGATCGGTGAGCTGAAGTGGCGATTAGCTCGCCATATTTATGCGTGGTAGTCACGCTGCAGCTATATTAAAGTCGTAGCATAAATGAGTCAGCTCGACCGGGGAAGGACCACGCTCTCACAGAATATAAGGGTAAAATAGCAACTTAATACTGCTGTGTTTCGTATGGTGAGTGTGAGAACCGATGCCCTTAATATTGGAAACACATTTCGGGTAATTTGCAGTACCCAGGGTCACGAGTCCACTTAAAGGTCCCCGTAACGCTCCACTACGTCCTATAGTGAGCCAGATCGATTCACCAACTTATAAGCTAGCACAACACTTGGCAAAAATACTATCACCACTGAGAGGACATACCAGAGCACACACAAAGGATTCATACCATTTTGTTAGTGAGATAAAAGACCTACATCTCGCTGACAATGAAACTATGGTCAGTTTTGATGTTCAGTCACTATTCACATGCCTACCTATTGAAGACTGCATCTCAATTGTAACTAGGAAGCTAGAAGATAACAACATGCCTGCTGAATATGCAGTATTACTCAAACATTGCCTCACATCTGGTCTTGGCTGCCTGGAAGAGATCGCTATGTAGCGATAAGGCCGCCAAATTGTACATGTAATCTGCTCTCTGTTATGTTCTTTGTAAATTTGTTTGTGATGTGCAATAAAGTATATTCATTCATTCATTCATTCATCTGGCTATCTATTGTGGAAGAAAGAGTTCTACAAGCAAGTAGATGGTGTGGCGATGGACTCACCTGTATCTCCCATAGTCGCCGATATATTCATGGAGGACTTCGAGGAGAAAGCCCTACAAACGGTACGTAGACGACACTTTCACAATTTTACCATCTGACAAAGTAACTGCATTTTTAGACCACCTTAACTCTATAAACTCTAAAATACAATTCACAATGGAGTTAGAGGCAAATAATTCTTTAGCTTTCCTAGATGTTTAGTGATTCGAAATCCTGATAACACTATTGGTCACACTGTGTATAGAAAAAAGACCCATACCAACCGATATTTAAATGGTGAATCTCACCATCATCCTTCACAGTTATTTACCGTGGGTAAATCTTTGTTTCAGAGAGCACGAGGGATCTGTGACAGAAAACATCTGGCCGCCGAGCTTCAGCATGTCAAGCAAGTGTTGCAAGACAACAAGCTTCGGATCCCGCGCCTACGTCACAGTGATCGATTGAAGCCGGCCACAGTCGAGCGTGTGCCTGCTGTACTACCATATGTCAGAGGAGTTCACAGACAAGGTTGGCTACATCTTGAAGCGAGCTTCCATTAAAACATACTACAAGCCGCCGAAGAAGATTAGTCAATTTTTACCATCCGTCAAGTGTAATATCCCTCTACAAGATGCAGGAGTGTACAAGTTAGATTGTGAATGTGGTCTCTCTTACATAGGTCAAACAAAAAGATCCATAAAAACCCGCGTGAAAGAACATAGAGCTGACATGAAGCACCGACGCTCCGGGAAGTCTGCAGTCCGTGAACATGTTCAAGATCGTCCCCACCATTACATCAGATTTGATAAACCACAAATCCTCGCAAAAGAACACCGATTCCTACCAAGGATGATACGTGAGGCTATTGAAATTAAAAAAATCCTAATTTCAATAGAGAAGATGGTTGGGTGCTGCAATTTGCTTGGGATCCTATAATTAACAAAATTAAACCCAAACCCAAGTATACCACTGCAAGACTTCAAGATACTGTAAGTTCGTTTTGCGTAAATCGGACCAAAAATTAATATTCAAAAACTGAAGGTAGCCGGGCTAAAAATGACATTGGGACGTTAAACATCTCAGTCCACTCCGTGACCATGGGTGCTGTAAACCACCGGAAACGTCGGGAATTAAAATAAGTAAAATCAGTTAAATAAACGCGATAGAATCCGTAAATTTAGTTTTATTCAATGTGTAGTGTTCGCGTAAATTTAAGAAATCATTGATATTATTTGTATTATTAAAACCAGGTATGCATGTGTAACCAGGTATGTGTAACTCAGCCTTAGGGTGTTCAGTGCTCCCCAAGATAATCGGCGACTACCGACATATTGTTCGCAAATAAAATCTAAAAGATAAAAAACAACATTGTAGTTTATTATTTTAGGTGGCGTCAGCAATATTTCAAACATGTTTACCGAGAGCGTGAACTGTAGATAAATTTGAATGATGGTCACATTTCTCAACTGTGAGACGACCTTCGCGTAACAATGGAGCAAAAAGTAATTCAGGAAGTAGTGTAGTGTGCTGCTTAATTTAGCTTGATAATGTACTCTTGAACTTATTTTGTAAGAGATACAGCTCAAAATTGTGCATCTACTTAATATAAACCTGCTCATACATCTGAGGCGGTATGTAATAAGGTATGTTGGGGGTATGATGTGACGTAGAAGTAGAATGTAGACACGCTGTCGCTTATTATCCTCACAGAATACCATCAATAAAATATCAGCATCTTGGCTGACCGAACAATGTTGCGTAAAAAATACATGTCCATCCTGGGACTAAGCAATTCAAGGATGTGCCGATTCTGTTTCTTAACGGAGTAAACACCTCTGTACATCCTAACTGATTGTGAAGTGTGGACCCTTAATGCGCAAACGTAACACTCATCTGGGAAACTATGCAATTAGCCCAGAAGAACAGCTAAGCAACTTCTTCAATTCATCGATCACAATAGATCTTACAGGCCGCAGTGATACTGGTCCTTGTAGACTTGCATAGCTGCTTGCACAAAAAAGTATGGAGGGGGTTTATTGTGACTTGAAATACAGACACGCTGTAGCGTGTTGTTCTCACACAATACCATCAATAAAAAGCACCAAACTGCTGTGTTCCGTATGGTAACTGTAATCCAAAATTCTTTTTAATAGTAATGAAACATCCTAACTTATTCCTCAGAGGCGACAAGGCATCTGTGTTTTGGTTCTTAAATCGATGCTAATGTGCAGAGGTCTATGGGATACAGTATCCTTTTACCATCAGGTGGAATAAATGATCGCTTGTCATCATAAAGAAAAAAAGAAAGTTACAGTTTATATACGTCCCACGCCTGGGCACAGGCATCCTCTCATTTCTGAGCGGATTTTAAGGGAAGAAGTGTTTACATTTTTTTTATAGCATTGTGTAACAAACAAACACACAGTGTGATGGTAAGTGGATGCTGTGGCCCATAGATATCCACATTTATCCTCAATTAAGCATGAAATTGCAAACGCGTAGTCACCCCTCAGGACTAAGATGGAATGTCTCGATTCCAGTAAAAAGGGTGTCCGGTTCTCTACACTCACCATACGAAATACAGCAGCATTATGCTGCTATTATAAGCTAGTATTCTGTGAGAGCATGGTCCTGTCCCAGTTAGCCGACCCATTCGTGCTACAACTATAATATAGCTGCAGCTGGCTCTACCACGTAAAAAACTGCACTACCCCAGTGCATATTGGCGGATTTCACACGTCTTCAAAATAGTCATGTTGCTTCCCACCACCAGAGGATCGGACAGATATTTCGCCAGCAGCTGATCGTCACCCGTTAAGTTTAGGTTAACATTTTAAGTAGATTTGTTTAATAGCTTTTATACATGCATGCCAAATTTAAGTTAAGGCATAAATTAATACCACAATTTTATCGTATACGAAAGCCAATGCCTCTTGAAACAGTTTTAAACTAGTTCGGGAGCCCATGGACTAATGAAATTATATTTGGTAATTCATTTTATACCAAATAAGCAAATTTTCGGGTATGTTTTATTATTATCATTATACGTAATATTATATTCATCATCATAATCATTACAGCCCTTCACAAGTCCACTGCTGAACATAGGCCTCCCTCAAAGAATGCTACAAAGCACGGTCCTGAGCCGCCTGCATCCATCGACTTCCTGCATGTCTTACCGGGTCGCCACTCCATCTACTGCCCCATATTTTGTCTACCGGTACGCGGCTGCCACTCGAGAATCGTACTTCCCCATCGGTTGTCGGTTCTTCGAGCCATATAGCCGGCCCATTGCCACTTCAGCTTACTAATGCGTTAGGGTTATGTCGGTTACGTAATATAGTATATTGATTAAAATGCCTCGCTTGGCGGGCTGGTTAGCAACCGCAATTTTTTTATTATTTTGATTTGTTATCAGGAAGATTCTGCTTCCCATCTCCTGTTTCAGTTTCTCTGTGTTGACCACAACACCCAGGGGACGATATGGGGTAGTTGACATTATTACACCGCCACTACACAGTTACCTTTTAGCCTTTACACTTATATTTATTTGAAAATAATATAGAGGTGTATATACTAACCAGTGTCCGAAGAGAGTGAGAGCATGGTGAGCATCTCTGTCTCGTCATCCGGCGGCGGTCGCTTTTCGTCCTCAGCGCCCAGCACCACAATGCTGGAACCGGATCGTCTCCGGGGCCTGAAACGTACAAAGTAAATAGTTAAAGAACTACCTGAGAACGAAATTTCCATAAAACTATTTTTACAGATTTTAATTTTAAGTTTTACGTATTTTTACTTCGAGCGCTTTGCAGCACCTATGGTCACGTGGGATGAAACACTCGAAATATCAGAAGTTAAAATTAAACGCGATAAAATATACATAAAACTAGTTCTATTCAATATGTATGCAGACTTAAGGTACCCACTGACGATACGTCCATTTAGCATACTTCCAAATGGATGCACTCCAAATAAAAATGTATCCAGATACGGTACCATTGACGTTTGGACTTCCGTTTGGACGCATAGCGTCACTTCGAACTTGTCAGTCGTACGGAATGGAAATAAATAACAATATGGATAATAATTCATTACTGGTGACTGCAGCTGCGTGTATTTCATTAAAAAGACAAAAAACCTAAACGGAGCAATTCATCGTAGTCTTCAAAGATGACAACGCATCTATATTTTGATTATTAATTGAGGATCCATGTAGATGTCTATGTGCCATAGCACCCACCACCAGGTGCACTGTGTGTTAGTTTGTCACTCCCCTTCTAGATATGGTGTAGATTATGGTGAAGCAATATCGTTGACTGAGGTAGAAATTAAAGAAATCAACATATAGTGGATATTATTCATTATAACTATACGTGATAGCTTGCATTATATATTATGGCTGTAGCACAAATAAGTCGGCTCGAACGTAGTAGGACCACGATCTCACAAAATAGCATAAAATAGCAGCTTTTAAATCTTCTGCGTTTCATATACTGAGTGTAAAGAACCAGGAGTGACAATGCATTTACATTTTGATTCTTATTCGACGATAGATTCAGTCTCAACTTAACATCATGTGGACTGTGTACTCGTTTGTCACCCATATCACAGCCCATAGTTTACATAATAAAAATATTTTTAATCCAATACACAGTTTATGTTTGACAAACATAGCACATGTACCACCATCAACACTAAAATATTAACTAACACAATAACGTCCAAAAAAATGGACGCCGGTTCGCCCATTCGCTGACAATTCGGACTACTTCCATTTGGCGTGGCGCAAGTTTTTAACATTGACGGACGGCCGCGGATGACGTCCATTTGGACTGGACGCATGGATTTCAATCCGTTTGGAAATCCAGAGCTGGATGAATTCCATCCAAATGGAATATATTTTTACCATTCACGGAACGATTTTGGACGATTACCACTCCATTTGGATTAATGGACGTATCGTCAGTGGGTACCATTAGATATCATTCACCAACAGAATTTCCATTAGAAAATAGTTTTTTATGTTACGCATCGAATACAAAAATCGGAGTAGCACTTCTGGAAATATCTCGGTTCCTGAGGATTTTCTTTAAATCAAATTTGGCACAGATATAAAATACGGTTACCCAAATACGGAAATGGATTTAAAATGGGATGGAAGTGACACAGATGACATCAACGTTGTTCAATATAATCTGCCACAAACTTCTCATGTCAGAACTGTGGTAAAACATGTTCTTAGATCGGCCTTTTCAGCAAAAGCGATGTCTTTCAGGTATTTCATCATAATCGTAAAACGGGGCGTAGAGCACATGAGTATAGTTTCTTTAAATCAATTTTGGTACAGATATAAAATACGATCACTCAAATACAGAAATTGATTTAAAATAGGGTTAAGGGGTTTGGGGCGTACAACACATGAGTGTAGTGTGAAATTGACCGATTTTATATAGTATGATATGTTCTTGACATTTTAAATATTTTTAATCGTCGTCATTGTAATTTCATGTGTTCCTGGTACTTTACTCAAACATTTATTCTTCGACGACCTTACTCGCCACTTTAAAGTAAGTGACTGCTGGAGTCCATGGATGGTGGTAGCCAATATAAAATAAAGAAGCCTAGAGATGCGTTATCGCCTTTGAGAAATGAAGTACCTCACAACCTTTAATTATGGCCCTTCATGCCCTGCTATAGAAATTGTAAAGATGGTAAAGTTGTACCTACCCAAACGGATCCCTAGGGTGAAAAGAAGTCTAGTCTAGTACCAGATCAAGTTAACAGCGTGTTAAAAATAAGAGCTTACATTTATATTAAAGTGCAGATGTCTATTAGATTTTCAAGTTTGGTCTAAGTAGCAGTACCTAGTTAAACTAACCTAGTAAATGTTACGACTTTCAAAACATGAATGCAAGTCATTTTTTTTAATAAAGCATATTTATAAAAGGTCGTATGAATTTTGATAATATTGTAATTATAGTTTGATATTATTTGATTCGTAGATAATCTTCATTAAGAACGTAAGTTAAATTTATGTAAAAAGATAACAACAACTTGAGAGGAACAGGTCGGCGCTAGGCGCGGCGAGACGCACGGAGGACGGACGCACCGGAGCACGTCGTCACGCAAACCAAACGCCTTTATGTAACGGCTCTTTATAATTTCAAATGTGTTTTTTCAACGCATTGCATGCCCGTGTTACATTACTTGATGCCCCGCGATTGCATCGCAACACGTTTATGTTATGGATACATTGAAAATTAAGAAATATACTTTTGTTCATTATTATGAATTCCGTAGAATACAAATCTGGAAAGAACACATTCATGTAATCCACTTAAGTTTCTCTTGGATTCTAATTCCATACTCAAATTCAACTCAACTTCTACTTCCATACTCAAACGCTACTCAATTTTAGTCTCGTGACTTAAAGATACGAGTAAAGACAGCACCAGACTAAAACTGAGCAGTAGGGGTGGGCGTTGCGACGACGAACCGTTTATAAAAACCGTTTTGTGTTCTGCGACGATGAAACCGTTTTACGTCCTGAGTTCAAACAGTCTTCGTTGCACAAACCAGTCTTCGAATTACTTGATGCTTTTTTTAAATTTACGCATATGAAAATACAGTCAAGAACGCAATAATTCAACTAATCTATATCACTCGTTGCGTCGTCGTCCTTAACGTTCCGCGTTTTATTGTAGTCTTTGGTTTCGCATTCGTTTACAAACGTTAGTAAAGTTGAAAATCGTTGATAGTTGTAAGAATCTGCAACCATTTCACTCGACGAAAACGGAATTCTATTCCATGTTGGATAAGTTTCGTCCTTTAAGTCGTCTTCAAACCAGTTGCAATGATGACCGTTTTCTACAACCGGTTTCGTCGTCGGGAAAAAGGTTTCGTTTCGTTCGTCAAAAATTCGACAACGACCCACCACAATTGTGCAGCATTTGAGTATTTGGTCAACATACGTAAATTATCTATAAACTGGGCTTAAAATTACACAGTACACGTACGTTTTATTATATTTAAGATATATAAGATATTGTATGCAATATTTACGTTCTATTGATTGTCACAGACCCTTTCCTGAGATGGATAACGCAAGGATGAGTCCCCCGCGCTACCTCATGCGTCTTGACGGAACATCATTATCACTTATTATTTTTAAATTCTCAGATGCATATCCCAAGACATTCTCCTTTATCGTCGAGCCCACGATTAATCTTCACTTTGTATTGCAATAAACAATTTCAGAGGTGCCGTTGAAGATGAATTCGAATCACATATATGACATTTTACGAAAATATCAAAACAAATTAGAATGTGTGTGTGTGGGAAGTAGAACGGTCTGGGGTAAAAAAAAAATACTTATGTATCAAGTCTAGTAATTTCACAGACAATATAATATTGTGATCTCTCTGACACGAAGTAAACAAAATATCGATAAAAACCCTCATAAAAGATCATAGCATTAAACCCGATTTTTGCAAACACATTTAGGACCACCCGCCAGCGCCCCATTCTCATTCACATTTGAATTGGAAAAGCTACAATTCCTAGCTATAGAACACCGTTTTATGCCAACTATAATTTGTGATGCTATAGCAATAAAAGGTATCCTATTTCAACAGAGGATTCATTTAATAATGGCTAAGTGATTAATGAATTAAATTCAAAGCCAGGCAAATCACTCTAAGACTTCAAGGTAGGGTCGTTTGCCGTCCGACAGGTCTTTTTGAGTATGAACACAAATAATTAATAATTAACAGCTGAAAATGGTTCAGGTTAATTACACAGGCTAAGAAAGAAACGTAGACAAAACACTAAGTACATCTCTAACACCATTTATCAAAGAAAGATGTGTGCGTGTTCCTGGCACTACACTAGCAACACACACTAAACCATGTTCAACTTCTGGACACACACTCACGCACATATTCTCTTCTTTCTTTCTTTATTAGCATATAAAAGTAGAAGTAAACTTTACACGGACGAATACATGTATGCACCTAAATTCACGTCACTTGAAATATACGTATGCTTAGTATACAGTCCACTTGTTGGTAAGTGGATGCTGTGGCCCATAGACACCTTACCTTCTCCTCGATTAAGAATCAAAATGCAGATGCATTGTTACACCTGAGAACTATGATGGAAGCTTCGTTTCTAGTAAAAAGCGTCTCTGGTTCTCTACACACAGCATACGAAACACAGCAGCGTTGAGCTGCTATTTTACGCTGGTATTCTGTGAGAGAGAAGGAGTACTTCTCCGATGGAGCTGACACATCGGTACTACTACCATTATATAGCTGCAGCATGGCTCTATCTCGTAAAGACCACTACACGTAACGACAATAAAAAACTGCAGTTGCCAATCCGCATGACAAGCATGGAAGCAGTGGCAAAAATCCCCCCAAAATTTTCAAAATTTTAATTGATTTATTTGTTTAGGTCAACATTATTGTTTTTATTTTTTTATACCCAAATTTTATTCGAAATTAGTAGTATTTATTGATAAATCAATTTCATGAATGTTAATGTATAATAAAAAAAATTGTAAAATATCCGTGCCATAGGCTTCTAAATGACAATGGAGTGACGACCTGGTAAGACATGCAGGAAGTCGATGGATGCAGGTGGATCAGGACCGTGCTTTGTGGCATACCTTGGGGGAGGCCTATGTTCAGCAGTGGA